GGGCAAATATTTGGCTGATTGGATTGTCGATGGCGAGCCTCCTTCCGAGCTTTTTGATACCGATGCTAATAGGTCTGCATTAAATCCATTATAAAAATGACTCAATTTCTTGCACTTTTTTTTTCTTTTTGGAGCATTTTTATGTTTATTCAGAATCCAGAGCAGGATTTTCAGCTGTTTGAATTTTTCTTTTGAGTTTTCCAGACTGTTTGAATTTTCAGCGCCTTAAATGAAATCCTTTTCATTCCGTCTGATCACATTGGCTATAATTTTTTTCATGCTAGATTCGAACGCTGGACAACGCGACAGTATATTACTGAAAAATGTCGTGAGACGTACTCCATGTTCTACAACTGGTCCTACACCAATCGATTGGCCGGACGACCAACGGAACGTGTGAGTGGGATTTATTCTCGACTGGAGAAGGAGGGATGTTTCCATTTATTCCGAAATGGCTGGGAGGTATTGCTTTTCGTTGAAAATTTTCCTAATTTTAATCTCAAATGCTTTATATACGTCAATGTATTGGCTTTATGATACGATACATTTATTTGTTAGGCAGAACAGATGTTTGCGTTCCATTAAAAAAGAACTACTGCATTATGCTTCTGAAGGAAAGACAACAAAGCAAGATAGCTTTAGTATCGACAAAATTCATAACAAAAGAAGCAAGAATGAGTTTCTCTAGTAAATTATTCGACAGTTCTTATGCGTTTTTTGCATCTGTGCTATGCAAAAACGCATATTGCCGAGGGGTTGTCTGTGTGTGTATGTCTGTGTATGCGTCTGTACCGAGTTTTCATCTCCAAATCTACAAAAGCTACAAGGCTGAAACTAGCAACTTAATCTACACATGCTTCCAAGCCCATATTCTTAACATTAGAGCGCACGTGGTTCTCTTGTGTGAGCACGTATTTTCAGGGGAAAGCGTTTTCGGGAATGGCGCAAGCTAGAAGATTGAAATTTCGCAGAAGCGTTTCTTAGCCTCGTCTAATACAAAGACTTCAAATTCCACCTTCACGGACCTCTAAATCTTACGTGCGCACATGCCAAAGTTTGAACTGGCGTCATTCCAGGTTTAAGCTGACTAAGAAATTGTAGAGGGCTGTAAAATTTATTGACTGCCCACAGATACTACAC